ACAACTCATCCAAATCTATTAGCATGCGATCGATGTAATCGTTAGGAATGAGCACTTGAAGCCATGGCCCGCGAATCGCATACCTTTCACTCAATGAGACGAACGATCCCGAGACCGATGGCGTCACCAAAGTTATGGCTAAGTCTCCGATTATGCTCTTGAATGTGAAGTGTCGGTCGTGTTTAAGTCGACCACTGATTGCATAATGAAATCAAATTATAATAATGGCATTGAATAGCTTTGAATCAATACTGACCGGAGAGCTAATGGCAACAAAAGTCCGGCCTCTAAATTGAAGCGTAAGTTAAGGCACTTTAAGTATTTAGTTTGGATCAGTTCTCCCGGTTCTGGTGCACCCGTTTCGCTGGCAAAAGACATTCGCGAATTGCATTGATTTTGTTGGTCGTGAGAGACAGACATCGAAGAACTGCAACTATTTCTGCTTTGGGAGTACTTATGAGCGCTGGAAAGCATTCCATTCCGTTTGTTATGCTCTCCATTCGTGATCTTCTCATCTGAATTATGAGAGTCCGAGTCATTGCCGTTGTCTTCGTTCTCGGGTTCGCTGTGTTTGTCGTCACTCGAGACCGAGTCTTCACTCCAATCGCATCGAGCGCTCACTCCACTCAAGTTCGAGCCCTGAGTGGCGATCCCGTCGTCAACAGCTTCTTGGAGTTCGGGCTCGAGTTCAAAGATGGTCTCTCCTCTTCGCATATCTGTCACTAACCACTGGCCGCCCGCACCCGACACTGACTTCATTAAGTCTATAACTCCGGGTCCGTTCCACTGTTGGGCGGCCTGTAGTTCCTCTAAACACACGCCAACTATTTGGATGAAAGTGACGGAACCAAATGGGGTCAGAGTCTGTCCCAATTGCGGGTCTTCTGTCATAAGCATGTGTTGTATTCGCGATTCGCTATTATCGAGAGAGCAGTGCCACGAGACGTGATCGCCGCCGCACAACAGGTTCTCCGACTGAAACACATATTTGGCCAACGCTTGCATCACAGCCGCCGGCCATAAGGGCGCTGTCGTCTCTTCCGGTTCCCTCTTCAGGCGAAATGTCAACTCAAACCCAAAACCGCTCGGAGTTTGAGATCCGG